CCGTGGTCGTAGTAGACCTGAGTTGACAGGTTGCAAAGTCGATGCAAAACACATGAGCGTAGAGGAGACCGGCCCCTAGAATGCTCTGCCTCTGAATATCCGCACAAACATATAAATGATGGCGAAATTCGGAGGCACCAAGACGGAGAAGTACGACGATTAAAGACGAGAAGGAAAAAAGGCATGCCATTTGCAGCCACTATACGAGGACGTCGGTGGGAAACCTCGGCTTTCCGAAGCCATGAATGGGAGAAGCCCATAGGGTTAAGTAAAGAGCAAGCTGCTCCGGTGCCGACAATAAAAGTCACCCGCGTATCAGCAACCAATACATCAACAATAGGAGCAGCAAAATCACTATTAGATGAAACAGAGGGCACGGGCAGGGACTCACTTGAAATTTGGGCTACCGAAGCCTGACGACCCCGGGGTGTGCGAGTTAAATTCCGATAGGTCTGTGTTGCCACTGACCTAGTCGCCATCGAACTAGCCTCTGAACGCTGGAAGGGTGAGGTAAGTGAAGGGCCATAACGGTCCTCGTAGTCCTGGACCAGAGACAAAATTTCATCGGAGGCCAGGGATTGCCCCTTTATCAGCTTACGCCGCAGGTGGTCGTCAAGAATGCCAGCCCGAAAGTATGCGACAAGAATTGTGTCCGTCACAGAAGGGGGGCAATTTGGGAATGCAGCGAAGACCAAAGGACGAAGACAGCCCAAATGGTCACGCGCGCTCTCGCCAGAAAGCTGCAGACGAGACGAAAACTGTCGATAAGCACCAACCGGAGGTTTAGAGGTAGCAAAGATGCGCCGGAGGGACGAAAGCAATGAGCCGACGTCAACGTCCAACTTCACGCCGAAGGAAGAAGCCTTGGATAATGCCTCCGTGGATAGATGGCGACAGATGTAACGGACGATCTTTCGCTGCCATGGAGGGCAAATGGACCTTGGCCTGGGTATGCCACAGGTCAAAATTATCTCCCAGTATTAGAAGGGGCAAGGTGTCTGTGGTACACTGCCGTGTCTCCAACACTGACAGCAGAGTCTGGCACAACTCAGCCAAGCCAACGTTGGCAGGCAAGGGTGGAAGAGGATTCGCGCTCATCGCCGGACATCGTGCGTAACCGCTGCCACCAGTTTTGTAGTGTGCAAGCAGTCAGCAGGCAATCTCAAAGAGAGTTCCTTTAGGAAGCAGTTAGTGTATTGAGATTGGGAGCAACCAGGAACAACGAAACACAAACGGGTGCGGGGTAGCAGGAAGTCCGAACGAAAAGGGGGGCACCCGGAAGAAGCCACAGCACTTTGCTGAGTCACAGCTGGGAGAAAAAACGGAATTGGCCAATCAGGCCTCGTCCTCGGCACCATCGTCCACGGTTGGCTCCTTGGTCTCTACAAGGACAATCAGATACAAGAGGGTGAGTTCAGGAAGAGGATGTTAAATAGTAATATCCATTGCAACAATCGAGGTAAATTCGACCTTATGTAAGGAAATTCGTCCTCCTATTGGTGGAAGTTAACGAAAAAATTTCAAGACAGGCTACCGAATATCTAAAGGTATTTTTTTTATTATAAGTCGACGGGATTTTGGGGACTCTACAATCAACCTTGCCGTCACTATTTATAAAAAAGGAAAACTTGGTGGTGGAAAGAGGAACTCCAGGGGAGGAATAAAAGACGAAGCGCAAATTGGCCCTGATCTACAATTTGTCGAAAAGTTATTGTTAAATGAACTATGACTATTGTAGAATGGCATATTTGGGGGGATCCATGGAAAGGAGGGCTGGATTGTGGCATGGAAAATATAGGAGGGGGCATAAAAATTGGATTTTGAGGCATTTCAACATAATTCGCCGGAAATGTGCATTTGAAAATGGCATGAATGGTTTTGAAAAATTGTTAACATTATTAGCTGACTTAATTATTTGGGGATGTCGGAGAGTTTGGGGTTAGGCAAAGTGCTAGCTTGGGTGTTTGCATCTGTTGTAGATGCTGTAGTGTTAGCAGTAATCAAATTGCCGAATTTGACAACTGACTTACGGGCGTTCTTAGGTTTACTCTATTGTATAGCTATCATAGGCGTGGTTGACTTGAAAGGGGAACGACTTGGAGTTGCTAAGATTTCACTCGTATCAGGAGATAGGTGAACAAGTGAAGATTTGGATGAAATTGGAATTGGTATTGTTGCCGTAGAACTAGGGTCCTCAAATGCTAATTTAGATAAAACCCGAAGTTCCATTGGAGTTTTGTCTCTGCATATTTAAATTTTGTTCTCCTTTAAATATTGAGCTGACCGCTCATGTTGAGAGAAAATACTATCTACCCCTATTGCCGAAAATTTTTGACGAGGATTGGCGGGTTTTACTCCGAGATGGCAATCTTTTAGCTTCTACGACGTTAAAGCTAAAGCCATAAGAGTAAAGAAACCGAAATGCAACGTCAAGGGGTTGTTTACTTTTTGGAAAATTTTTCCTTTTCGTTTGTGACGCGAGTGCTGCTGTGTTCTAGGCCCGGTCGCGCGTCCTTTTTGTCTTCAGAAATGGAGCATAACGCTTGGCAAAGTTTTTCTCAATCGGCAAAAGTAGACTTTTTGATCAAGAATATTGCCTTAGCTCTGAGGGAAATATGTCAGAACAAGG